GGAGGGGCGGGCGGGGGTCACGTTACGCGGAGGACGCGCCGCCGAGCGCCGGGCGCAGGGAGCCCCGGGCCGGACCGACCCGGACCGGACCCCCGCGGCCCGGCCCCGGCCCCCGCCCGCGGCCCGACATGACGGGGCTGGAGGACCAGGAGTTCGACTTCGATTTCCTCTTCGAGTTCAACCAGGGCGACGAGGGCGCCGCGGCGGCCGCCCAAGGTGGGTCAGGCGGGCCGGGAGGGCGCGGGGTCGGGAACTTGGGGCCGGGCGTCCGCGGCGCGCCCCGGGTCCAGGTCGCCCCGTGGGGTGGGGGCCCGGCCCGCGCCGCCCGCTCCCGCCTCTCCGCCCCGCGCCCCCCAGCCCTCGACCCGCTCCCCGCGGGCGCCCTGGGCGCGGCGGGACTGGCACAAACATGCGCCGCTGATGACGCGCTCCGGGGGGCGGAGAGGCCACCTGTGGGCTGAGCGCGCTTCGGATGCAGGCGGCTCGCCGGCCCGCTCCGTGGGCTTGGTGCGGCCAGACGGCATCGGGGAGAGGGTGCCCGTGTGGGAGGACGCCCCTCCTTTTCCGGGGTGGCCCGTGCGACGCTTCTCCAGGGGGGACGAGTGTCCAAGGCGCAGGACTTGGACGCTGTGGTCTGGGGACAGATGGCCGGCAGCAGTGCCAGAGGGCAGTAGGAAGCGGCCCCTCGGGCAGCCCGGCCCCCTGCTCGCGCCCTGGCCCTGACACCTGCGCAGCTTGGAGCAGGGACTCGGGTTTGAGGCTCGCGAAGCGGCTCCGGTTTTCAAGTTCACACGCACAGTGCCATGACCCCGGGCCTTTCCTTTCTTTCATTTTCTCCTCTCTGTCAAAAATAAAGATTCCAATAAAACAAACAAATAGCAAATAAACTATTGTCCCCCCACCCCCAGCTGGCACTCTTGAATAACGAGAGAGCCACTGAGTAACGCGATGGCAGCTCGGGTGGCAGAGCCCGTCGGGGCCTTCGGCCAGGCCCCAGGAGGGTCGCCCCAGAGCCCACCCCAGCGCCGGGTTTCCTCCTGCCCCCCTTCTGTTCTGAACCACGGGCACCCCCGACATCAGCTCACGTCCAGATACCGCCTTTCTTCCCAGTCCTGGGCGTCTTTCTGTCCGGGCCCACATGGCGATGCAGTGCGGGAGGCAGTAGGACCTTGGCCCCGGGGACACCCGCTTCTGTGAGGATCACGGGGTCACGACCCTCTCTTTAGAAGTCTGACGTCTCGCTGGTGTTTGAGAAGAGATGTTCCAGCCAGGCCAGGGCCGCCTGACGGTCACAGCCCACTCCTCCCTGTGTGTCTCCCGGGGAGGACACTCCTCCTTCTCCTGTCGCCCTGGCTGGGGTTCCAGGTGGGCACCGGGGCAGGCAAGGGCGCTCCTGGCCCTGGAGGCGCCGCCTACTCGGTGCGGCTGCTGGGCACTGCGCAGGGCCTTCCTGGAGCCCTTTCCAACCACCGGTAGGAGTCTGTGTCCCAGCAGGAGAGCTTCCCCCGGGCGCTCAGCCTGTCTTGCTGCATCCAGCAGATGCCGTTGGTGGAACTGAGCCGTGGAGGACCCCACTCCAGACTTTCCACGTGCGAAAGTCGGTCCCACACAGGTGTCGGCTACCACGAATCCCGGGCCACCTTTGAAGGCCTCTCAAAGACCCTGTTGGCTGAGGCTCCCGGGGCTGGTGTGTGTCCGCGGCTGGGTAGGGTAGGGCCCCCGTGCAACCCCTTGCTGTTGACTCAGTGTGTATAACTGACGGTGGGCCCGGCGAGAGGTGTGGGGTGGAACCCGGGCCTGCGTTCTGGTCTGGGCAGCTCGCGGGAGACACATGGCACAGGCCACGCAGGGGAGGGTGTCCCGCCAGCCACACTGGCCCGGCTGGTGATGGTCTCACAGGCAGCAGGAGTGGGGGACCGGGGGTCTGCCAGGGCCTTGGTGGGGGGCTGTGCCGTGCCAGGCGCTGTGTCTGGCTCAGGGCAGATGCTCAGCGACTGCTTGGTGACAAGGGCCACCTCTGTCCCCACATGCCCGAGAC